GCTATATTAATGAGGCTAAAGGCCTCTTCTTTTATCAGTTTGATAGTTTGAGAGTGTTTGTTGTTGAGTGTAAACCACCATTCAAGAAACTTGAATGGTTGGTTTTTAGGAAAAAAATTAATTATTTAATATATATATATATATATATATATATATATATTTTTATCTTTACTTCTTTTTGCTATCCTGAAGGTCTTTAAACATCTTTAGAATCTGTTACATCTCTTAAAGGCCAGAGTTATCATTATGTGAAGATCATCAGATGGCATGTAGTTCTGTATATTACTGAACTGTAAAATAACTTATGCTTCATTAAGTCTGTCATATAATGTCTCAAGTCCCTGGTTCTTCAATGTAGGACCTACTATTACTTTCAGTCTGCAGTTCTCTAACTTCACATGATCTATCAGCCAGATTGTCTATATATTTTTGATATTCTTAATTCTATGTATTCTTAATTAGATTTTTTTAATATTAACATTATTTATTGATGGATTACATCTTATTTAGTTGTTCTCAACCCTGTGGCTATGCTGGTTACTGTATTCTTTTTGTATAAATCTTGCTCTTGCTTTTTTTTAAGTAGAAATCCTCTGCAGATCTTTTTCAATTGTGATTCTGGCAGAGTTTTTGTCATCTTTTAAAACTCAAACTCATGATCTTGTAATTAAGACCTGAAAGCACCAACTACTGCACTATCGACTCATAGGTTTATATATATTTATATTTTTATAAAAATACAACATAAAATCTTCATATTTATATTAGATAATGCAAGTATAATGTAAGAAAATATTAATAATAATGCTATATAAATAGTTTAACTATACTTGTATATATTTATTACATATTGTATTGTATGTCAATTAGCATTGGCATATGAAACTACTAAAAAAAAAAGCAAAATTTTGAATATATGCTAAATTATTATTAAAAAAAGTTTATATTTTTTTTAATAATTCTAATAAATGAGTTTAAACTTTATTTAAACATTAAAAAGCTTTTAATATATCTATTTTAAAAATTAAAAAAAATTTTAATATTTGATGATTATCACTTTATGAAGTAGAATGTGAGTTCTATAGCTTAGTAAATAAGCTTTTATATCTTTACAGTCTAGATTGATAGTTTAAGTCTAACTAAAGGCAACAATCTAAAAAGATTTTAGACTTTATAACTCAAAAAAGGAGCCAATAATTGAACATAAAATTCTGTAAACAAAAACTAAGTGTAATATATAACAAAAAATAGAAATTCTTAAAAGAAAACTAACTTTGCAGAGTGTGAACATTATGTGTAACAGTAGTATTACAGAAAGTTTTATTATATAAAGAACTATACTTATAAGTCCTCTAGAGACAGAGCAATACTAACATTTTCATATTTAACTTGTAGAGTACTTGATTAGAAAAGTAATACCAAGGTAATATAAACTGAAATAATAAGAAAAACAATATATACAAGAAAGGTTTATGATAAAGAATTAGTTATTTTCAAAATTAGAAACACCTCTGATGCTGTAATACATCTATAATTAAAAGATAACTATAAACTGTATAAAGAATATTGCCTGTCTTGTATATCTAAAAGTACCCAGCTAGAGCTCTGATTATACTTATATAAAGTTTATAATATACTAAATAAAATATATTAATATAAATATTATACCAATCTAGATTGAAACATCTACAACTGAAAGTAATAGAAATACTATAACAACCAATAATTGGAAGTGATTTTTTAAAATACAGTTCCACTTATATCATAAAAGAAAGTACTTAAGAGACAGATTAAGATGTACAATTTATTAACAATAATGCTAAGACCAGAAGGCACAAACTAGTAACAGTTGCAAAAAAACAGTACTAAGTAGACTAGAAAGTTAGTTACTACAACAGGATATATTGTTAGATGCTAAATAATTCTAACAAACCAAAGATAATAGCTTACAAGAAACAAATGACCTAGTAAACCAATTTAAAAATTGTTTAAAAATAGGTTGTAATATATAAGAGAAATATGTAGATTATCTAATATTATTAGGTGTAAAGCAAAAATCCAGATTTGGTATAAGTAAAATACATATAACTATGGTAGGTTTAAGTCACAAATAAATTAGTCTGAGTTCCAGATCTAATATAGTTTTATAAAGTAATAGATAATATATAATGTAAAAAGTTGTACAAACTATAACAATATATATACTAATAAAGACTAAAAACATGACTTTATTTTAAAAAAAAACACTTTATAAAGTAGTAAAAAATTTTTGTTTATTTGTAGAACCTGTTCTTAATACCTTTTTTAATATTATGATAGAAACAAAAAATTGAAATATACAACATTTAATTTTTGATTTATATTTGAATCTTTGTGATTAGAGAACATTAGTATTTTTTTATTTTTTTTAAGATATTCTTTTTGAATTTGCAAATTTAAGCAAACTATTTGAAACTAGATTTTTTTATATTTTTGATATGCATTCTGTAATTCAAACTATGATTATAAAATTAGAAAAAGTTTATTTAGATATAGGTACTAATGACATTTTAAAATTAGATTCAAATATTAATTAATTTTTTTTATTACTGTATCTTCTAAAAAGATACAAATATTAGATTATATAATTTTACTTGAACATCAAATCAAGAAAACAATTTACTAACTGATATAATGAGTTTTATATCTATTATTATTTTAGAAATTCAGATCTGATTTCCAAATGATCCTTTTATCAATATTATAAAAAATTTTCAACTTATTAGATAAATTATTAAATTATGAAAATTTATTAGAATTTGGTAATAAGAAATTAGATTTGTTAATTAATTGTTATGAAAATCCTATGCAATAGTTAATTCTGAAAATACATATAGGGAATGACTTAATTTTAAACAACTTATATATAATGATTACCCCAACCTACCAAATGACAAATTACTTGTTATATTATTTCAATTTTATTCTAACTTATATCCAAACCTTATCAAATTAATAGAAATTATATATTCTATCTCTTTTTCTAGTGTAGAATGTGAACATGATTTTTCTAAACAAAATTTAATTAAGACCATAGTACGTAATAGTTTAAATAATGATACTTTAAATATGTTAATGATGATTAGATTAGAAGGGGTAGACGAAACAGAATTTAGTTTTAATGATGCACTAAATTTTTGGTATCAAATGAAAGAAAGAAGGATTAAATTAAATTAGATTAAAGATTAGTTTAATAATTCTTTTAGAGTCTTGTAATAGTCTTTAATAAAATATAATTTTGCCAAAATATGTAACGATTATAGTATTTCTAATAGAAATAAGGATTCATAAATTTTTAATTAATGTTTTTGATAACATCTAAAGAACTTAATATAACGATAATGATAACGACGATAACGATAAAACTTTAAAGTTTTTAATTAATGCCGTAACAAATTATATCTTATTATTTTACAGAACGACGTTTGTTATGTATATTAGTATAATCATGCATTGAATTGTTATTTTGGTCAATTAAATTCTAATATACTATGGATCAAGAACAGAACTTATGCATGACCGGCAAATTACTATGGTCGTTTAAGCCCTGCCTACAAGATTTTTCACAGCCCTAAACACCTCTTAGGAGTGCTGAAATACAATTTTAGAGGGTGTGCACTTGTGGAACGTCCACTTTTTTAGCATATAAAATAATTTTTCAAGAATTTTTTAATGCGCATATTAAAATTTCCCCATGTAACATTCGTATTATAATTATAGGCTCACTTTAGAATTTATAGTGTCTTTGCCTTATCCGTACAGAAATATCGCGTAATAGCAGAAAGATTATATTATAACAATGAGAAAATCAATAACGTAATCTCCTACACGATATTTATCATTCAAATAAGATATGGATACCATAGATTCTAAGGTTAGTGTATGGTTACTTGCGAATACTGCATGGGGAAGTCTTTCTCTCATAAAGAACTCGTAGATGTATTTCATAGTCTCCGAATGGAATCAACTTAATTTGGTTTTTTTTTTGTAATTGCTATTCGTACGCTAATATTTGAGACGTAGGTACATATACCACTTAAAATTTGCTTATGAAACTATCTTTGGGGTTCTAACAAAAATAAATAAATGAATAAATAACGTGAAATTTTAGTATAATTACACTTTAACCTTAAATATTAACATTTACCTATTGTTGTAAGCCGATTAGGGGTTAGTCGACTTAGTCGATGAACTAAAAATTATTGGTCAAAGTTTAACTATTGTCTTTTTTAAGATTTTCACTGGATAATTTACTTATTGTTTACGCAGGATCTGTATCGAAAAAAAAAAAAATGCGCATGAGTTCATTATCAGCAAAGCAATACTCTAACAATACCCTGAATTTGCCCCTTAATGACTTAGTTGACTAAGCCGACGACTTAGCCGATGACTCAGTTAGTCGACTATTAGTCGAACGACTAACACTACCTTTACCTAACTTAATCAAATTAATTCGTTTTCTTTATTACCCGCATACGCTAGTATATCTTTCGAAAGTTTTTTTAATTGCTTAATTTTTTTTCATATTGATATCGAATTTGCCAAAAAAGATAAAATTTCCAATTGACGATCAAGTAGATGAATTTTGCCAATTTATGGTCCGAATTTACCATAAATAGATAAGTTCTGCCATGATCTTGCCATTTGTGATGCCGATTTGCGATCATGCCAATTTATGATCGTGATTATACAATTTATGATCATTGCCAATTTATGATCGTGATTATACAATTTATGATCTTGCCAATTTATCAATTAAATAGGTTATCATCTTTAAGAAACAGAAAACCGAATAAACTGACTGTTATATATTGCCAGAGGGTGAACCTCTGGTCGTTTAAATTGTTTGTTCTCTAATTCAAAAAATTTTCTCTCCTCAGCTTCATCAAATTGTTCAGATATTCGAGATGGGTATGGATCATCACAGATAGCAGTAACCCAACACCCTAAAATGTCACTTAATTCGCTAGCTTCCGGACGATTAAGTGGATCACTATCCCAACATCTTTTCATTAATGTTGAGAATACTTCCGGAGTACCATCAGCAATTCCTGGACGATAATCATTACAAATTTTTATTGCAAGCTCCGAATCATGAGGGACCTGACAGAAAGGTCGTATACAACTTGATAACATCCACATGATTATTCCAAAGCTATATATGTCAGAAGCTTGAATATACTCTTTACCTTTTAATACTTCAGGAGCAATAAATGGCAAAACGCCATAATTTATAAAATTTTTTAATCTGGAAGGAGGGCCGTGTAACCCGATATCGGCAATTCTTGTATTAATTGATACAGGTTCATTTTCTACTAATAAATTTCCTCCATGAAGATTACCATGATAAAGTCCATGTTCATGAATTCGTTCAAGCCCATTAGCTATCCCCCAGAGCATATCAACTATAACTCTCCAACAAAGGTCTCCCATGGCATCGTCAAGATATTGATACAAGTTTCCATTTTCGTAAAATCTCATAACAAACATATAGCAACCTTCTTGGTCACATGTTATCCCAAAAAAGTCGGCTACTGGTCCACTTTGCATGCATTTATAATAATCCGAAATCTATATAAAATATAATAAATATTATTAATATGTATTAATATATATTAATTTTCTTTATGTAATTACGACAATGACACTAAATTATATTATAATTGCGACCAATAATAGAAATGTAAGTTGCAAGGGATATATTTGAGTAATATGTGTTAGAATTTGTTGAGATTTTAGAATTTAATTGGATAAATTCTAAAACATCACAAAATTCACGTGATAACCCCGAATTATTAAAACCGGTTCCAACCTCTACACCTGGCTTAGTGACTGGACTCGTTTCAACTCGTAACTCGCGAGTTAAACACAGAAGAGCATTCGAATCATATAATTGATTATTAATTATTCGATTTATTTGAGTTATGAAATTAATTTAGTGAAAATTTTTGGGAGTTAAATTAAATAATACTTATCGTATAAACGCGAAATAACGCACAGGAGCGTTATTTTGAATCATGGCCCGAATTAAGCTTAATTTAGGCCAAAATTCGAAATTACACCTCAACGTCATTTCGCGCTTATACAGTAATTCGCGAGTTAACATTTCGTGATCAATTAATTCGAGTTATTCGAATCACTAGCCCGATTTAGCCTGGTTTAATGTTAAACTTTTCAAGAATAATCTTTATTAATCATGTGATTGAAATTGGATTTAGTCAAATATTCTTTAACATAGTTGTGTTTATTTAAATTCCCTTAACAACTAATCAATGTTGAACGACTTCAGGGATATAAACCACTTTTTTAATTTTTTGTGAAAATAGCAATATACTAGGTTAATGCATAGCATTATATGTCCGGAGCGAGTATTACTATATGGGCTGCCGTCAATAGAAATCAAGCAAATCTACATTTGAAAAAAAATCAATGCCTTAACTTTCACAGCTCATATCTCGATGGATTTTAAAGCTATCTTGATGGTTTAATATTCAAAAGGAAGCTTACATT